TGGATAAAGGAGAATAAATATTTGTAAGGGTAAGTGAAAAGCTTAACATAATAGGTAAATAGACTTTAAATGAGCACCTAGCTGTTTCAAAAGAGATTTTCTCCAGTTCCACATGAATGACCTTCCTGAGAGGACAAATGAGTGAGATTCATGCAAAACCAACTTAATATATATTTGTTGAGTGACTGAATGAATGAGTAGACAAATTCATTTTGTTTGGTGATCCTCGGTCTATGGGACTAGAAAGCTGTCCACCTCCCCACCCCCCACCCCACCAACAAAATGTTAACTATGCAGCTATATTTTTTTTTGGTGATAATGTAGGGAAAGTCTTAGAGGTTCTTTTTGCTACATTTCATTAAACACTAAGCTTATTTTAAAAGACACAATCTCGGGTGCTGGGTGGCTTAGTTGGTTAAGTGACAGCCTTCTGCTCAGGTCATGATCCTGGAGTCCCAGGACTGAATCCGTCATCAGGTCCCTGCTCTGCAGAGTCTGCTTCTCCCTCTGACCCTGCCCCTTCTCATGCTCTCTCTCTCTCTCGTTCTCTCTCTCTCAAATAAATAAATAAAATCTTTAAAAAGACACAATCTCTAAAATTGTGAGTTTAAGCAGAGCAAATGAGTCTACATCAAAACACTGGAAATATTGTTCAGAAATATATGTTTACCTTGCGTTATAGACCGAGCTTCCGTATACTATACATACATATGTATATGTGTGTGTATACTATGCATTCCGTTCACTGAATATTATAATTTTTAATTTTTTTCTGTGACCCTCCCCAATAGATTGACTTTCAAAATATCTGGTTATAATAAATTTGTTTAATTACATATGGAATACATCCATGATTAAGTCAATCTGTTATAATCTGAGAAAATTTTTAAATTATTCCTTAATTCATGGCTGTATTAAACTATCAATATAATGTGATAAAGTGCCATGTGCGAACTTCAAACTTTTTTCATCACAGATGCATCTTCCTTTCGTCAAAAGAATCATTAAGATATTTTAATTCATATAATGCTTGTCTCATCCTGGGATACACTTATAAAATAGTAGCTTATTCAGAGTAACTTTGTCATAGCAATAAATTAGTAAACACCAAAAGTCTTTTATGAACTGAACACTATCTACACGTAACTGGTGCTAAAAAGAGGTGTTAGAAATACTACCCGTCTCTATAGAATCTCCATATCATTTACATATAAACAAAACCCAGTTAGAGAACAAGGTATCACACATGTTTTGAAGTCTGTTAAAACTGGAAGAACCCTCAGAGATTATATTGACTTTTCATTTTAGCAGTGAGGACACTGAGCTACAAAAGAGGGGAAATGATTTACCAAAGATGGCACAGCTGGCTTAGTGGAGTTGTCAAGGAATCCAGCTCTCTTAACTGTTGAAGTTAGTGGCATTTAAACAGGTAACACTGCAACCCACGGTAAGAAAGAGACTTTACTACATATCTTTATTGATTTATGGTGCCATCAGTATTACATATATCACAAAAATAGGAAATATACTGGTTAAGATGTGATAAGACAGTGTCAAGAGACCCTGAACTTTAAGATAAATATCAATTACCAAAATATTAAAGTGGTGGGCAAAAAGAATCTGAATACAACTTTTACATGCATGTACTATGTAACTAAAGCAGAACTTTTTCCTGTGATAATATCTATTGTTCTCTTTTTTTGAAGTGTCTTGGTGGGTCCACTGAATTGATTTTACTACCCACTAATGAGCTGACCTGATCCAAACACTAAATCATGTATCACAGATAATTAGAAACCTTGTTAACATATGCAACCAAAGTGCTAATTGTTCAGTTTGATAGAAGGTGCAGAAGAAAAGAAATAGTTTCATGGGGACAGAAACCACCTTGGGAAGGTTTCAAATTAGAAATAAGAGTTTAACCTTGAATGGATGGGTAAAATACAGTGACATAAAGAAGGAGAAGTAAACAATTGAGCAACTTAAACTGGGGTAAGGGGGGGAACACCACAAATGTGGATGTGGAAAAAAATCCATTCTTTAAAATATAACCATTTAATTTAATAAAAAGAATATGACACCATTTTTTAAAGTCTCAAGTAACTTCAGGGATGAAAACAAATTTTAATGTCTCTCCTAACAGAAAATAAACAAAAACCTGAAAAAACTAAATATAGTCTGGGAATTACAATGTAGAAAACTGGTTTAAGTAAAATTTGATGCAATATTTGTTTTATATCCTTGCTATAAATTCCAAAAGAGTCAAATAATCTGATAACAAAGTGACGGTGGGCTGAAAACGAGTGGCCATACCTTCTCCCACCCTCAAATTTTTGGTGCTTTTCTTAGAGTCAAGGATTAATGCAAAAATCAAATTTTGGAATCCCCTTCTTACCAGCCTCTGTGCATATGAAAAAAATATCGGAGGATACAACGTACCCGGGATAAAATTGGCTGGCTGAAATCCTCGGTGATTTCTCCTACATTCCTCTTCAGAATTTTATATCTAGTCCTTGCAAAAGCAAGCAAACAAAAACAAACCTAGAAGCCCTTTTTGTATGTGTAAGTCAAATGTGCACACCACAGTGCGAATGTGATCACATTAAAAATGGGCAAACTTGGCAGTTAGGAAATGTCACTGCAATCCTTAGTACGTGAAATTTCAATCCCTTTGATGAAGATACCATCTTTCAGCCAAGCCCCGGCAGAAAACCTTTGGTTCCTGTTAGACCCCTCCCTCCGCAGGCAACCGCTGGGCTCCATCCGGAGGGAAGGAGGCTCTCCCTCTGCATCACAGCTAAGCGTTCCCAGACCTAGGAGAAACCCCGGGTTTCTGCAGGGCACTCAACGTGCAGCTAAGTGTCCCAGCTCTGCAAAGGGCGGCTGAAAATGGATTTAAAATGGCAACGCGGACCAATCAGCGCCGCCGCGCCGAAGCAGACATTAACACGCGCCTCCTCCACAGGCACAGCGGAACCTGGCTGTGCCTAACTCCCTCCTTAGGACTGTAAAGTAGGCGTTTTTATTCCACGGTGGTCTATATTTTGGGGAAGAAAAAAAAATTTTTTTTTCCTCGGGTGAAAGTTTTTATTTTGGAATTGGTCCAAAATAATTTGGGGCGTGATGTGTGAAAATCTGAACCTAATTTTTTCGGAGTTTTTTGTTATTCAGGGATGAAAAGAGGTACATTTTTAAAATGTACTCCACCTTTTTAAAACGGACTGTGGTCATTACAGTGTTCACATAACTCAGAAACAGCCCAGGCAATAAAATTAGGACTTGGCAGAAAGGGAGTTCCTAGGGAAAAGGTTAAATCAGGGTAAATTGCAGGGAGAGTTGGACAGTTGGCGCAATTATAGTGTTAAGGGAGCTACGCGGTTCCCGCTTAGGGCAACCCTTCTGCTCTGCGTAGGAACACCGGTAAGTCGCGCCAGCCCCGAGGTGGGGGGGAGATTTTGCTTCGCCTCTAGTCTTTCCCGGAGGAAAAAAAACCTCAATGAAGAGGACGGCGCGCTCCGTGTGCATGAGTGCACATTGTTTGCACGTGTGCATGTGTCCGCGAATGTGCGTGCATGTGTGTGCCTGTACGAGTGTGCATATGTGGAGCTGAGTGCCTGCGTGTCTGTGTGTGCACGCGCTTCAGGGTCGTGCAGTCTGTGATGAGGGTATTCCCAAGCAAAGCAAGGCTGCCGGGGGCCGGTTCCTGCTCCTCCTCGGTTCCTTCCCACTCACAGGGAACCAGAACTCTGCCGCGCGTGCAGCTAGACGCTTCCTGCTGAGTGTTGGCTCCGCGTCGTGGAGGTGCAGGTAAAGGCCAAGCCCCTAAACGCGGATCTGGGGCGGTCGCATTCCCGTGCCTTACTAGGACAACCGCCCAGGGGCGACCTCGGGCGGCAGGCGGGACGAGGCCGGCAGCGAGCAGTCCCGGGATCCCCGGCCTGTCCCTTTAACCCCGCCGCCGGGCGGGAGCACGTGAGCGGGGCTTCGGGTGGCACCCGGGCGCCGCCGCCGCCGAGGCAGTTGTATTTCGAACGCTGCCTCTGGCCCGCGGCCAGGCGCCTTGGCTCGGCGGTCCGCCTGGCCTCCCTCCTCCTCATACTTTTCCTCCTGCGCAGCCCCCTCCCATTTATCCGCCCACGATTAGAGGTGGGCACTCCCCCCCCCAAACCCCGCCGCCCCCTCCCCAAGCACACACACACACACACACACACACACACACACTCTTCCCACTTGAATCCTGGGGCAGGAACTCAGAAAACTTCCAGCCCGGGAAGAGCGCGCTTAGTGCAGGACGCAGGAGCGAGCGGCCCGTCCCCCTCCGACTCTCCGGTGCCGCTGCCGCCTGCTCCCGCCACCCGAGGAGGCGCGGTGCCACCCACTGCTTCGTCCTTTTGCCTGCGCCCTGTGCCCGACCCGAACCCGGCAGAATCTCCCCATCCTCCTTCTGCTTTCTGACTGCCCAAGGCGCGATTTGTTTTCTCTCTCTTTCTCTTTCTTGCTCTGCGAGCGCGGAGCGGGGGGGAAGAGGAGGAGGAATTCTTTCCCCGCCTAACATTTCAAGGGACACAATCCACTCCAAGTCTCTTCCATTTCCAAGCCGCTTCCGAAGTGCTACCGGTGACCGCAACTCCTGATCCCAAACCGAGAGGGGAGTCTCCCAGCTTCAAACCCTCTTTTCCCTTGCCTTCGCTCTCCTCCTCCTCCTCTCGCTACCTCCACCTCCACCTCCACCTCCGGCACCCACCCACCGCGGCCGCCGCCACCAGCAGCGCCTCCTTCTCCTCCTCCTCCTCCCCTCTTCTCTCTTTTTGGCAGCCGCTGGACGTCCGGTGTTGATGGTGGCAGCGGCGGCAGCCTGAGCAGCAGCAGCGCTCGCAGCACGCCAGCTCCTCGCCCACCCTGCCTCATCCTCCAGCCCTACCGCCCGATCTCCCGAAAGGTGCCCGGCACATTCGGGGCGGCGGCGGCGAAGCGGCGGCGGGGGCAGCGGTAGCGGCGGCGGCGGGAGGCAGGATGAGCGCACGCGGTGAAGGCGCCGGGCAGCCGTCCACTTCAGCCCAGGGACAACCTGCCGCCCCGGCGCCTCAGAAGAGAGGACGCGGCCGACCCAGGAAGCAGCAGCAAGTCAGTACGCGGGCAGGGTGGGGGCAGCAGCCCACCTCCGCTCCCTCGGCCAGGGCCCCGCGACGCGCGGCCACCCGAGCGCGGGAGTCCGGCGGCGGCGGCCGCGGCGCGCTGCCGGCAGGCCGTGGGGGCGGGCTGCGGAGTCTTCGGCGCGAGTGCGCGGCTGAGCCCCCGGGCTCCCGCGCTCCTCGGGGCGGGGAGGTGGGGAACAGCGGTAGGCGGCGGGAGGTGGGGTCGGGCGCAGCGCGTCCTCGGAGTTTCGCTATTGTGCACGGCCCCGAGTGGCGCGATGTCTCCGCGTGACGAAGCGGCCGGGCTCCGGCAACCCAGGGCTCGGTGGGCACTTTCCGAGCCGCTTTTTACAACTGCCCGGCGGGAAGGAGGTGCGGGGGGGTGTGTGCGGGGGCGCAGGGGTGCTCTGGCGGGTCGGGGTTGGAGGGGCTGAAGTCCTGGGGGCCGGAGGCTGTGTCTCCCGCCAACCGGGGCTGCTCGCGGGCTGGGGACTGGCGCGCCGCCGCCGCCCCCTTGGCGCCCTCCCCACGTTCTCGGTGGCCCGAGACTCGCTCCCTCCCGACAAAGAACTCGTGGGCCCGCCCGGTCCCCTTAGGGCTCTTTAAATGCGGCTCGGCCGCCGCTCGGCTGTCCGCCGCCGCGGAGGTGTCCCAGGAAAGGGGGTTCGGAGGAGCCTGGGTCCTCACGGGGCTGAGGGCGCGGTGGAAAGTAGTGTCCGAGAGTGTGCACAGTAGCTGGGTCACTTCCTCGCCAGGCCCCCGGTCCCCCTTTTGCCCCTGGATCCCGCGCTCCGAGCTGTAGACTTTAAAAGTACTTCTTCTGGGCGAGCGGCTGGGGGTTGGGAGGGGACGATCGAGGGGCGCCCGGGACCCCGCGGAGTGGAGGGTTTTGTCTGCGGATGCAACCAATTAAGCGTGCAGCAGGCGCTTGCAGAGCTGCGCGCAGCGCCCAGAGTGGGGGGTTTTGTTCGCTGCAATTTCCAAGCTTCGGCGGCCAGGGCTGGAGCGGGGCATGTCTATTGAGAACATTTAAACTCCGCTTCCGCGGGCTTTAAAACTTCTCCTGCGTTCCTTAGCCTTAAAGCGCTGCCTTCACCGCAAATAGGCTGATTAGAAAATAATCCTGGAGTCCCAAAAGCTGCCCGAGAGCAAGGCGGGGGGAAACCGAACAATGTTTGCTTGCCAGAGCGTTTTAGAAAAACTGAAAGGGTTGTACCTTTTTTGAAATCATCAAAGGAAACAAGCCAATCTAGAGGCCCCTGAGTTTTCCCGCTCTGCCCAGGCGACACTTTAAACCGCGTTAGGATCCTGTTTTACACCTCCCAGGAAGTCTCTGCCCTTCCCCCCGCCCCCGCTCTTGTTTCCCACCCGCCACCCAGCTCTCTCTAGCTCGATTTGTCCCCCACCTCCAAAAAAGTATCCCAAAGAAATTGCGGTGGGATCTGGAGGTGATTGGAGGTTTTACCTTGGAGTTAAGGCAGAGTTCACAAAGAAAGAAAACTGCGTCTCCGGTGTGTTTGCTCCGGATGTGCCCACTGGCTCTAGTGGTCCCACAGAAGCTTGCAGGGAACCTTCCCCAGATTCTCCAAATGGGGTGCGGATTTTCATTGAAGACTTTCATGCGTTTTAAGTTAATTGGTCTCATTTAATCACCGAATCTGAATGAACTGTAAATTGATGATTCACTGCATAAATATTTAGGATCTGGAATATTAATCATCGCATTCTCTTAACCACTTGAGCATTTACTATTTGGCATAGGAACCCTTTAAAATTTTGTTAACCCTATTGATAGTTTCAATTTCTCCTTCCCAGACACTTCCATTCTCCTTCATTTTTTCCCTCTTTTAGTTCTCTCCGGTCTCCTCCCTCCCTAAGAGTTTTCTCAAAAGCAAGTTTTGGAGGAAACTGTTTATTTTTATCAAAAGACATTTAAATTTAGGCTAAAGACCATGCCTCCAACTCCAAAAGGAAGTGGAGAACTGAAGCAATTATCTAGATAATTCAAGCAAAACCTCCCACAACAGATTTACCATAATTATTTGGAAATTTTAGGGGGAATGGAGTTATTTTGAGTTGAAGATTTTGGGTAATTGCTCCAGTACTTCTCTCAATGTGTTGAGTCATAACTGACCTACAATGCGGATATACAGAGATGACTAAAAACCATCTTTTCTATAGGGAAGATTGTTGAAACATTTATGATGTTAGCGTCTTTCTTTTGTTGGAAATGCTGGTAAAATGGGTAGTAGCATTCCTGTAAAGTATTTATAAGTTGCCAAATACATAACCATTCAAATTTTACACCTTAAACTTGTGTGACTTTCTTTCCAGAACATGCAACCTTGTCAGCCTTTGTGACCTTTTTAGTGCTGAAACAGAACCTAAGTTTCATATACAAAATAGAATTTCCTTTTTGAACCCTTGGATTGAAAGTGTAGTTATTTTCCCTTTCTGTAAACTCAGTGCCATCATCATTCCATTTATGTTCCTACTGAATGTGGGGCAACAGCCTTTTTGAACAGCACATACAGAAACTAACTATAGAGTCAGGGTCGATTTCTTTCAGACATTCTTCCACAACAGCATTTTTTCCCCCCTATACTTAGGAGCCAACCGGTGAGCCCTCTCCTAAGAGACCCAGGGGAAGACCCAAAGGCAGCAAAAACAAGAGTCCCTCCAAAGCAGCTCAAAAGGTGAGATTTCTCAAGTTAAGTCCCCCCAACTTTCTCCAGGACCACAGGAACTTCCCTGTAATTTCCCCATTCTAGATCCAGACTTAAGGATTTGTCCCAACTGGGTAACTCAAGACTCATTTCCTACCCTTACTATTTCTAAGCAAAATCAGATTTCGAAGCATAACTGCTTAACCTAAAAAGTTTATGAAGATGCTTCCCGTGTTGTTCTTAAATAAACAATCACCAAATAATTTGAAACTCAAAATCGGGGCTGGGAGGGTGAGGAGGGGGAGTGGAGAAAGACACAATTAAGATCTGCACCAGTTGTGAAAGAGTTAAAAATAAGTCAGAACTGTAGGTTTTGCTTGATGGTGTCGTTTGCAATTTCCTTCAAAAATAATAAAGATTGATTTACTTTCTGCTTATTTACATGATTACTGCAAAACCAAATCCTTCTATAAGGTTAAGTATTTTGCCAAATGATAATTAGAAGTAAATCCAATTATGGGATACTGGAAAAAATCTTCATGAATTTTACAGATTTAAATGTGGTGATAAAGTATGCTGTCTGTTTACAATAAACTTACAATGTAGTATATCATAATCTCTCAAAATGCCTCCATCCATCAGGTGGTACAGCAATGCTCTAAATGGGACAATGAGAAGTTTTTTTAAACAAGTATTTGATTCATTTATTGTGTATTTTGGGACAGACTAGAACCCAGTCAAGTATAAATAAGTTCCAGTGTTTTTATTTATAAATTGTAAATTGCAGTTTCACGTAACTTCATGTTGGTTGTATTTGAGCTAGCAAAGAGGAAATATCTCAGGGTCAATGCATGTACAAAGAAGCAAAGGTGAATATAAAACTCACCTTTTTTTTTTTTAGTTTTATAAAGGAATCAGAAAAAGTGTCTGTATTTTATTTGTAGGGCTGTATATTAGTTGAAAACAAAGGCTCAAAATTCAGAAGTACATTTTTCTATACCCCTTTTTAGTGGATTTGAGTACATCATGTATAGTATTTGTTAAAAAGGGCCATAAGATCATCTTTGGGGACTAATGTTTGGTGTGGTTTTCTCTGTGACTGTGGTCACTAAGCATGTTAGATGTGATAGTTTTCAGTGTTGTAAACTGCTATAGCAACCAGTGATACGTATAAAGTTGTTTAGGGAGTAACTATGAATTCTTGTCTGTTTTATTTTAATAATCTTGAACAGAGCTGAAGGGAAGGAGCAGATTCCTACTGTATTTAATTATAACTGCTTCACAGAGTGAAGATTTAATTGTGACCCACATTTAATCCATAAACTTTGAAGTAGCTCTAATTTACCTTGTCATTTAGAACTGACAGTATATAGTCTCATATTTCTAATATGAGTATTTCCTATTTGTTACATTTTTACCTGGTTTATGAGATTAACCGAAAGGGGCTAATTTAACAAAGGAGTTTTTAAATGTTGCATAAGTGTGGGATTTGCCTAACTTAATTTTACTCTAATGAAATGGCAAAAGAATATCTTAGTAGGTAGCTAACATTGAAACTCTGATGTAATTGCTCTGAAAAATGCATCATTACAGCATCTCCCAGGAAGAAATCTGCATATCTTGTCATAAAAAACTGATTTAAAATTTTAGACAAAAAAAAAGGAAAATGAATCTCATCTTTCACATTTCAGTATATTATATTTTTTTGAATGATTAAAGAGATTTTTCCATTATCTTCTCTTCATTTTGAAAAGTTTACCACTGACAAACAAAATCTTTATTGACACAGGGGAAGCTGAGTCTTGTGTCTAATTTACTACCTAAAGCAAAATAACAAAAAAGTTGGTCTCCTCCCAAGTAAGGTTTGATTTATTTTTAGTTGTTTTAGTAACAGGCCTTTACAGAGGATTCTACGAGGCTGCTCATCTTTCTGGTAATTCTTCATGTGTATGTATACATTATTACAATTTCCAAAACAGAAATAGATTTTCTTTTTCCCATAGTAATCTTTCCCTGATATCTTCCATTCATCCAGACAAAATTATTTCACACACTTCTGTTCTAAAAGTCCCTTCCAATAAAAATGAGCAAATATATTTGCCCATAACACTGTTCTATTTCTCCAGTTTTATGAATTACGCTTCATTTGGAGAAGATAATACTTTGCAAAAGAATGAATGACATTGATGAATTGTTCATGGCATGTGTAAACTTAAGGTATTTTCACTTTCAAATTGGTGTTTATTGAGTTTGCTACTACCCTGTGTAAACATGGTTATCAAACATAAATTTGTTTATCAAACACATACTGTACTCTGACAAAACGTATTTGTTAGGATTTTGAGAAGCAGTATTTTTTCAGAAAAAGTTCTATTGTTCATAACATGTAAGATAATCATACTCTGCTAGAGTGACCAGAGTAGATGTGGGAAGTCTCCTATGATTAATAAATTGGGTATTCTTGTGCAAACTGAGATTCATCAAAATGAAAAAATACAAAACAAAACTGGTAAGTATATAGGAGAACAGAACTTGAAAATTAGAAGAGATGCAACATACACTGAAATCCTGATGATGTTGGGTGTTTAAAATTTCTTGCTGCTGGGGTTTCTTTACTTACAAAGTTTGTGTTTGGACTCAGTCACTGGCCTTGGGGCATTTGAAAACAAAACTGTTGGAAAATTAGCAATGTGAAACTTGACAGTACACACTGAGTGTTGCAAAACCAAGTGGACAACTGCTCAATTAGTAAGCACTTAAATTTCAGGCCCTATTCAATATGAAATTGATTTGGGTGGTATATAAAACGAACATTTATAAAGGCACAATTTGTTCTGCTTGGAACTTTTGGAAGACAAGGTAATGATTCTTTAATCTACTTACACTCCATCATGACAGATTCCCACGGATGACCATTAGGTAGCAATTTTAGTCATTCCTGAGAAGTCCAATCTGAGGGCTCAGAATTTGTCTTGGAACCAGCTTCATATTACTATGTTAATAAGGGAAATCAGAAGTTAATATTTTCCTGAATAAATGATTTGTTGGGGTGTGTGTGTGTATATGTGTGTGTGTGTCTTGTCCTTGTAGTTTATGGTTTAGTTTAGAGATATACCTGTGACCAGTTGTCTCTCAATTTCTTGTTTTGTTTTGTTTCCCTCTCATATTTGTGCTGGATGGAAATACTTTGTATTTTTGCATTTTGCCTCTTTAGAGGAGAGAAAGATATAATCTCCTTTGTGTTTAGGGTTTTTGCTATGGCTTTGTAATCATGAGAGAATACTGGAGGGGCTGTCACTCATTCTCCAGTTTTTAAGGTCAAAGTCAAGTTCATCTGTAAGCCTCAAGGCAATTCTCATTCAGGTACTTTGAGGACAAAAAATGTTTTTTTCTGAGACTGAATTACATTTTAATAGAAGGAAATGGCATATAAAAAGATCTCAGGTGTGAGGCAGCCCTACTTCATAGAGTCATAGGTTTGTTTGAACTTTCTTTTTTTTCTTAAAAAAAAAAAAAAAAGATTATTTATTTATTTATTTGACAGGCAGAGATCACAGGTAGGCAGAGAGGCAGGCAGAGGCTAAGCAGACTCCCCGCTGAGCAGAGACCCCCGGATGCAGGGCTCCATGCCAGGACCCTGAGATCATGACTTGAGCCCAAGGCAGAGGCTTAACCCGCTGAGCCACCCAGGCGCCCCTGAACTTCTTTTGACTTGAAGTTGAATAACCAGAGCTAGAGAGCAAGGTGTAGAAGTAAAATATCTAGGTAAAGTATGTACACTTCAAGTAATGTGCTCAAGTAAACATTCGATCTGTATCTTCCATTTGCTTGTACAAAAAAGTTCTGGTGTTGATTGGACCCTATAAAGGCAGATTTGTGCTTTTTTCTAACTGCATTCTTAGAAATGTGGTTGATTTTTCATAAATAATTACTAACACCAAGCACAGGTATTTTATGATGAGAGAATGTAGGCTTTATTCATCATTTCAGAGAAATGTTAGAGCATGGATGTTGAGTGAGGACAAGATTTTTTTAAGAATTTAATAGGCCCAACTGAAGAGGGTAACCAAAGGCATCATTGTTAGGTAAGTCACGGAAGGATGGGTGTTGGAAATTGTCATACAGTTCCAGCCTATGGTTTCTGTGTGAGTAGTAGGATTTTGTTTGATTCCTGTGTGTTTGAATGGTAATTTCCACTGGGATTCAGGGCCCTATCTGAGTTAGACACATGTATCCAGATGGGTGGAATTAAATAAAACCCAAGTGTTGTCTCCATTATCTTGATATTTTAAGCTGATTTACCTAAGCAATTGACTCTTTTTCTTTTATTTCCACTTCACTTGCCAGGGAGGACCAAACCTTAATGCATCAGTAAATTCTACCTGGCAAAGCCTTTGAGCCATCACAGATTATGATCCAAATATGGGCAATTCAAAAACATTTGGATTCTTTCACGAAGTAACTTTACTTCAAGGAACCTATAGTTCTAATTTTCTGGAAGCTATCACTCTTCTGAACTCACCATCCAGAGCTCTTCATTGCTTTGACTGACCCACAGCCCTGGCCTATTTTTATCTCAGAGTCATGACTAACCACTCTGCTAAGGAGGTAGAACATACCAGACTGGCATTTAATCGTGTTTTAGTTCTTTCTTGAGTATCAATTAGATGGAGGCTCACCTTGGAACCACTTAGCTTGGCACAAGGGTAGAATAATGAATTTCACTATCCTAGATTCTAAAACTTCCAGTTATGAATTTTTGTTCTACTCAGGAAAAACAGGTTGAAAAGTGATTCTAGTTTAGGCTAGGGCTTTGTTCTCTGTTGTTTTAAGACGCTGAACAGTTTTGAATGGCACCTTCTGATTGATTTCTAGAGGAATAGTATAGTCACTGTCTTTTCTTCAGGGTGATATCTGGGGCACTTTGCTCAGAAGGTAACCCCCGTGAACTCCTGTATCATAGCTATTGATTCTTCTGATCACAAAAAAGGTAGTGCGATGGTTGATAGGAGGAAAGTCTTAAACTTTGA